CACAAACCAATCTTCATTCATGGCCCTTCCCGCTCACTTTAAGACACCCCCCCCCCGTTTATCTACTTCTTCAATCTTAACCCTTCTTCCTCCCCCGCACGTTTTGTTTATTGGACACTTAGAGTCTCGTCCGTCTATCCGTGAGCCTGTCTCCCCCTCCCACGCACGCCAGTCAACATCATTCTCTCAGTAGCGATGCACGATTTAATGGATTGTGAAGAGCTCTACAAACAACATCTTGAGTACTCGTATCAAAACCACTTTTGTCACAAGCGTAGATGTCAGACAGGCCGGTCCACCCCTCATTTCTCCCACTGCTTCTATGTTGTTGTTGTTGTTGTTACTGTAGCCGAGTAAAGAGACGCACGTTGACACAATAGTGATCATTTAGTGCTGAAAAAAACAACCGCCCAGACAGACAGACAGCAAAGATGCAGGACCTACCAGTAGCGCCACCCAACCACCCTCTTCAGTAATTCAACACAGAGTAACGACACTATGATGAGACCATCCAACTTCGTGATTTGTTTGTTTGATTGAGAAAAGAGAAGCACGGCGACACAATAATGGTCATTTAGTGCTGAGAAAAAGTAAGAGAGACAGACATGTTACACAACACAAAAAATAAAGAAGTAGGACCTACAAGTGGCGCCCTCCAACCATCCGTATTGACAACGATTTATCTCTGCCTTTTACCAAACACGTAATTTCCTTTCCCCCGTCTCCCCTTCAAATCCCCCTTTGGGTGGATAATGGCAAAGCCCAGTCACATTCACTCTATGAGGTCATGAACACGAAAGTATTGACTTCTTTTTAACTTAAAATATTGCGGGCTTTTATCATAGTCAAAAGGGATGATAAAATATCCTTAAATTTGTTTCACTACGATTATGCTAGACAAAATATATCCACAACAAAAGCATGGAAAAACCCGGAACAAAACAAGCCCGCCCCAAACTAAAAGAAAACAACAACACTTAAGCGATGATTCACCAGTGCAACAGGAATAGAAAACAGATTCTGAAGTTCATTGAAAGAGTGAGAAAAAAAGTGGATAAGTTTGAGGAAAGAAAGCCTTAATTGAATTGATTTTCCCCTGCATT